AGAATTGTAAAAATCGTGATGATGGCAGATGAATTTTCATCTACAAGAAGGTTCTTACACAGCATAAGAAGAAAAGCATGGCTGATTGACAAAATTCAAAGATTCAGTACTTGTACTCAACAAACATAATAAATAGTAGCTTATGAACATTACACTTATTGTAACAGATCGTACAGTGTTGGCATTCTTGTAATTAAACTCCAAATCATTTAAAGTACAATTTACTATCTTTTATTTTTCACAAGGAATCAGATAAATGTCCTTCTTTGTGCATGTTTTTAAATTGGAAAAGTCAACAATCACTTAATATTCCTACACAAGAAAATATATATATATATCCTGGTATTCTAGCTACATGTTCATCTTTTTTACACAATAATGTAAGTGAAAATTAAAAGTACTAGAATCATGCAAATAGAAGTAGAAAAATACTTATAAGCTCATCATCAGTATACCATATAAAAATAATATATGACACTTTTTCTAGAGTACAAAACAGAGCGTGCAAAAAACACCGCAAAAAATTGTAACCTTTGAAATTGTTGTCACGCACTATAACCCCCATGGGGAATTTTCTAAAGTTAGCAGGTATGAATATGACAGAAACTTCGTAACATAAGGTATCTGCATACAAGGTATATGAAGCATCCAGGTCTGTTACCGTCTGAAATATAAAGCTTTATACGAATAGTTTACATCGCCGCAGCCGCCGGATAGTAATCCCTATGTTATGCGGAAAGTCGCAGGCCAGACAAAAATTCGTAAAAATTGGCATTCAAGGGCAATAACTCCTTTAAAGAACTGACTGACGATTTCAGTCATTTTGCACTGTTTGTAGATCTTATTTTGCTGATCATTTTCTCTCTATCTATTATAGTTTTCGAAGTGATAGCCAAAATCCAATTAGGAGTTGTCTGACAACATAAGTAAACAAAAAATGAACAGCAGGTAGAACTTAACGTTCTGAACATTTCTGTCAACATGTTTTACACTTGATAAAGATGAGTGTGGCAAAGTTTTAATTGATACATGAAAATTTGTAAAAGTTAACTGACCACTGAAGCCATGTGATGAGAATAGCTTAAACTGACCCTTTGGGCTAGGTTAACTAAAATGTTTTTATTGAAATTAGTTTTCTTACTTTTTTTATAGAATTTGAATGAATTATGGTTCTTATATATAGTTTCATATATATAACATGGCGTTAGAAAAGAACAAAGGGGTGTAGGAAATAACAAATTTAAGTGGTCTTTTTTTTTTATCAACAAAATTATATTCTTTGAATGAATGAATGATTAAACTATGAAAATAAATAATAATTATTCTATTATATCAATTTCTTTAAATTTATGAAAAATACATTTTGAGAAATCATTTTGCTTTCATTCACAACCCTTCGTAATTCCTTTATAAACAATTCATACACATCTAAGCATTTCAATTTTTGCTCTGAAACATAGTATGACTTGAAAATGCAAAAACCTAAAACTGTCAAAAAATAGTTAAAACCATAATATCCCTGATCTGATATTTTGTATCCAATGTAAAAAGAAATACACTTATCGGCGAATTTCCAAAAGGGGGGTTAAAAATTGTTGATTTTGATAGCTATTTTACAGCACTGAAAGCTTCATGGGTTTCCAAATTAATTACAACGGTGAACCAATCTGCCGAACTGGAAGATTATTCTTACCAAATATTTCAACAATCTGCGTAAAAATTTTCCTGTCTGTAACATTAATTAAGATAATGTAAAATCACTAAAAGAATTTGAAAAAACACAGGACTTTTATTTGCAAGTAATTTCAAGTTGGGTGAAAACAGGGGGAGGTTAAACAAAATTTAACGATCATTTTTCAAATATCAGAAAACTACGGAGCCCTGTTGGTCTCACACAGATTATAAAGTGTCTTTTAAAGTCCTGCGCTGAAGATGTGTAAAGTCTAGCGCTGGAGATGTAAAGTCCAGCGCTAGAGATGTAAAGTCTAGCGCTGGAGATGTAAAGTCCAGCGCTGAAGATGTAAAGTCTAGCGCCGGAGATGTAAAGTCCAGCGCTGGAGATTTAAAGTCTAGCGCTGGAGATGTAAAGTCAAGCGCTGAAGATGTAAAGTCTAGCGCTGGAGATGTAAAGTCAAGCGCTGGAAATGCAAAGTCCAGCGCTGGAGATGTAAAGTCAAGCGCTGGAGATGTAAAGTCTAGCGCTGGAGATGTAAAATCAATCGAATTATACGAATTCCAAACAAAAAGAAATTAGAAAATTCAGCAAAGAGTCGGAAACTCACTAAAATAAGTAAGAAAATACCAAAACGAGAATAAAAAAATTTATAGACGGAAGAAGAAATGAAGCACACTATGACCAGCAAACAACCATTAGATAGCTGATAGTGGGGGTATAAAGAACCCTCAGATAGCTGATAGTGAGCATAAAGAACCCTCAGATAGCTGATAGTGGGCATAAAGAACCCTCAGATAGCTGATAGTGGGCATAAAGAACCCTCAGATAGCTGATAGTGGGCATAAAGAACCCTAAGATAGCTGATAGTGGACACTATCAACTATCTAAGGGTTCTTTATGCCCACTATCAGTTATCTAAGGGTTCTTTATGTCCACTATCAGCTATCTAAGGGTTCTTTATGCCCATTTTCAGCTAGCTAAGGGTTCCTTATGCCCACTATCAGGTATCTAGGGGTTCGTTATGCCCACTATCAGCTATCTAAGGATTCGTTATGCCCACTACCAGCTGTCTGAGGGTTCGTTATGCCCACTATCAGCTATCTAAGGTTTCGTTATTCCAACTATCAGCTATCTAAGGGTTCTTTATGTCCACTATCAGCCATCTGAGGGTTCGCTTTGCCCACAAACAGCTATCTGAGGGTCCGTTATGCCCACTATTAGCTATCTAGGGGTTTGCTATGCCCACTATCAGCTATCTGAGGGTTCGTTATGCTCACTTTTAGCTATCAAGGGGTTCGTTATTCCCACTATCAGCTATCTGAGGGTTCTTTATGCCCACTTTCAGCTATCTGAGGGTTCTTTATGCCCACTATCAGCTATCTGAGGGTTCTTTATGCTCACTATCAGCTATCTGAGGGTTCTTTATGCCCCCACTATCAGCTATTTAATGGTTGTTTGCTGGTCATAGTGTGCTTCATTTCTTCTTCCGTCTATAAATTTTTTTATTCTCGTTTTGGTATTTTCTTACTTATTTTAGTGAGTTTCCGACTCTTTGCTGAATTTTCTAATTTCTTTTCGTTTGGAATTCGTATAATTCGATTGATTTTACATCTCCAGCGCTAGACTTTACATATCCAGCGCTTGACTTTACATCTCCAGCGCTGGACTTTACATTTCCAGCGCTTGACTTTACATCTCCAGCGCTAGACTTTACATCTTCAGCGCTTGACTTTACATCTCCAGCGCTAGACTTTACATCTTCAGCGCTTGACTTTACATCTTCAGCGCTTGACTTTACATCTCCAGCGCTTGATTTTACATCTTCAGCGCTAGACTTTACATCTCCAGCGCTTGATTTTACATCTCCAGCGCTTGACTTTACATCTCCAGCGCTAGACTTTGCATATCTCCAGCGCTAGATTTTACACATCTCCAGCGCTAGACTTTACATCCCCAGCGCTAGACTTTACATCTGCAGCGCTTGACTTTACATCTCCAGCGCTAGACTTTAGATCTCCAGCGCTGGACTTTACATCTCCAGCGCTAGACTTTACATCTTCAGCGCTGGACTTTACATCTCCAGCGCTAGACTTTACATCTCTAGCGCTAGACTTTACATCTCCAGCGCTAGACTTTACACATCTTCAGCGCAGGACTTTAAAAGACACTTTATAATCTGTGTGAGACCAACAGGGCTCCGTAGAAAACAGAGTATTTGGGGAAATATATACATTAAACATTGCAACAAAAGCTTGTTCTTTCAAAACTTGGTAACAAGTGGATTGATATATATTAACGACATATTGGATCGTGAAGGAAAGTTATCAGAGGTTTTTATTTTAGAAAAATTAAGCAATAAGTCAAATTGGATTGTAGAGTTTAAGATATTAAAATCCTCCATCCCGAAGGAATGGCAGCAATTAAGTTCTGATTAAAGAAACCTCTATAAAGAGTAAAATCAGTATTTGTAAAGATAAATTGAGATGGGGAAATAAACAAATACAAACAAAAGATATTTATAATAAAATGTTGTATAATAGTTTAGTAAATCAAAAATATACACAGCCAATTGGTATCAATATTTCGACAAGATATTTAAAGTTAGATTACAGGCCACATATGTCATTCGTAAACGATTTTATATTCAAATTATTAAGAGAGAACAAGATGAAATTGTTTAGATGGAAACTGCAACATAATATTATTCCCACAAAGCAGTTGCTATTTAAATGGAAAATTTCTAAAAATAGTAAAATGTAATTTTTGTAAAACAGAAGAGGAAGATTACTTACATTAATTTTCTTTATTACATGTTCATTTTTAAAAGATTTTTGGGATAAAGTGGAATTTTACATCTTCTAACAAAACTCAATTTTAAAAACACGATATCAGTAAAACATAAAGTATTTGGATACAAAATATAAGTGGTCTTTTTATGACTTTTTAAAGAGAAGGGCCCGGGTTGTGGGAGTTGACAAATGAACAAGTGGGTTCGAGCTTCATTTTCTTCTGGATTTGAAATCTCCGAATAATGTAGTTCCAACCCCCACATATATACGCTGCCCCTCCCGTGATCCACATATAGGAGAAAGGCGAAATTAAAGGGAAAGCTTTCCCCTGTCCGTCCTTCAAGATCTATTACTTCAACTTCTTCTTCTATACGTTATACTTAAAATTATGGAACACCTTCTCACTGGAATAATTTCCGGAATGAGTTATACTTAATCAAGCGTGTGCTGTTCTTAATCATACGTATTTACCATAAATTACTATTGTTTAATTGGTTATTAGTTTTTCTCTCCATGATCTGCTAAAAATTACTTACCCTTATATTTGAATCATCATCTGTTTACCAAATCGTTATTTTACACTTCGTTTTGATTCTTCATCAAGTCGACGGACGTTCTCTGAAAACGAAAGTGAAAAACAAATTGTAATTTAAATTCATCTCGAAGACATGTATAGTTGTTGGAAAGTGGTTTAACTAATTCTTTTAATATAACCGTCCGGCTAATTCCTAAATACCTTATCTTAAATGGTTCACTCATCATTCCTTCAGTCTGTATATATTTATATACCCTTCTTCAAACAGGAAGGTGAATTACAAATGTATCATGTGACTAATTTGGTCGTCAAGGATTTGTAGACAATCTCATGCATGGTAGATAGTATTACAAAATGTAATACAAATCTTTGATCATTTAAATATGGCGGTCTATTTTGAATTTGGCTATTTTTCTTTGTTTAGGCATGGATATGATATGTTAATTAAGTTTGCTGAAATTTTTATCTGGAATATTTATTCGAACTTAAGAAAACTAGACCGTGTGATTTTTTTTATTTCTATTGTTAATTATTCTTCAGGGCAATTTTCGATTTGCTCCTTTTGGGGTTGCCCCGCTATTCTTTGGTCCGACAACCCATTAGTCCGAAACCCCAATAGTCCGACACAGGTCGTAATCATATAGAATATTAGACGTGTTAGGAAAGGGATTTAAATACTGCGCTGATGTTAATTATAATTTCCAACGGTTCGATAGTATTGTTGGAAATTACTGTAATAACGGTACTAGTGAATACTATTGATACGGGTACTTCGTATGTACACGTATATATACATATCACGTGATATTGATATTTAGCGGGAATATTTTCCCTTGTTGGTCACTTCTAGCCAAGCATCAGACTGGACAACAGTGAAATATGACGGACCCCGGTTTAGATAATTCCGTTAAGCAAGTAATTGTCCAAGAAGTACAAAATGCAGTATCTGCTTCACAACAAGATACCCTTAACCAAATCACCGCCTTGATAGATAACAGACTATCCACATTCCAGGGAAATATTCAACAGTCTCAGCGAGATATCAGTCAATCCCAGATGTCCAAGATTGAAGAGACTTTGTCGGAGAACTATACTTTCCAACGGAAGGGGAACGAAAACCAGTACAAACATGAGGTTAAAGTCCTGACGAAGTTGACGGAGGCAAAATCAAAGTTAGACGGACCAGATTTATCCGTAGAATCCATTCATCAAGCAATAGACAAGATTGTTGAAGGTATGGCAATTGTAAGAGACAGACAGAAACTCCCTAAACTTGCCGATTCATCCGAATTGGGGTGGAAAGTCGTGAAGGAGTACACAACTAATCCAATTGCCGATGACTCCGAAAATGAAAAGAAGATGATAAGAGCACAAAATAGAGCTGAACGTAGGAGCAAGTCAGACAAGCTGAAAAAGTCGAAGACAATCAGAAAAGTGCCTTATTCCACCAAAGAGAGAGATCCACCCCCTACCTGGAGAACAGGGAGATGTTTTAATTGTGGCAATAAGGGCCACTGGGCGAATGATTGTCCTGAAAAGAAAGACAAGTGTATTTAAAAATTTTGAATGTATTAATTTGTATAATAATATGAAAGAATATTATATTGGTCAAGCTGAAAATTCATTCAGTACAAATGTAAACAAATCAGAAGATAAACATACGATAGAAATTACTCAATCGAAACCAAGTGTCACTGGTGATCACTTTTTACTAGAAGTTGATATACCTGTCTCGCCAGTAGGTAAATTGAGGTCAAAATTACATGAATGGAAAGCTATTACTACTAGTACACATATTATTGATGTTATTGAAAACGGTAATAAGTTACCGTTAAAAACGGAACCAGAGGTAAAACATTTAAAAAATAACAGATCATCTTTAAACAATGCAAAATTCGTTGTTGAAGAGATTGACAAACTTCTTCAAAAAAGGTGCATTTCTGAGATTTATTCTAAACCAACTGTAGTGAATCCACTTACAGTAGCATTTAATAAAAATAAACCAAGACTAGTACTAGATTGTAGGCATTTGAATCCACATCTGTTTAAATTTAGGTATAAGTACGAGGATACTAAGATAGCAAGAGATCTCTATCAAAAAGGAGATTATTTATTTAGTTTTGATATAAGATCTGCTTACCATCATTTGGAAATCTCAGATATACACAGAACTTTTTTAGGTTTCGCTTGGAATTTTGATGGAAATACGAGATATACAGTCCGCCAAAAGTTAAGCACCACCTATTTTTATTGCATCGATTTTTTTTTTCATTTAAAAAAATCAGTTAATCCTCGAAAAAGAGAAAATATTCATATAGCAATTTTGCTAACATATACCATAAACAAACCGTAGACTTAAGTTTGTTCACGTATGCAGGTTCTATGCATTTGAAATTTGCGTTCATAGAAATAGTGAAAATTACACAAATCAGAAACGGAATTTAAGTTTCACTGTGATTTTATTTTTTGACAACAATAGTCACCCATTATCAATAAAAGTCTCTACAATTAATCTTTGGTATGTTCGGCAAATTTAATGTCAATATTTGAGTCAATAGGATGTGTAACACCCTCTCTTCCGGTACAGTTCCATAACACGAAGTCTCATACTCTGTACAAGCCTTCTGAACTTTAGTTGAGCAAATTTATTCCATTCAGCAACAATTGCGCTTCTTAAATCGCTAAGATTTTGAAAAGGTGGATCTCTGCGATTGAGATTTCTGCCAATGGCATCCCAGACATGTTCGATAGGGTTCATGTCTGGAGACATGGAAGGCCAAAATATAGTGTCAATGGCTTCTTGCTCTTTGTACTCTTTGTACTCGGTTACAATCCTTGCCCTGTGTGTTCTAGCATTGTCGTACATGCACAAGGGTCTTGAAGCAAGTGGAGGATTATCAAAATGAGGGACTTCAATGTTTCTAAGCACCAAATCCCTTTATGTCTGTCCGTTCATGTTACCCTGCAGAATATGCATACCCACATTACAACAGTATGAGAAGAAACCCCATACTGTAACACCACCAGCAACGTATGCAGTCGTTGGGCAAATGTTGTTTTGGTCATTAGCAGTTTTATTTCCACGGCAAACTCGTATTCTGCCGTCTTTTGGTCGTAACAGTAACTGACTCTCATTTGACCAATGAACATTTTGCCAGCTTCTCAAGTTCCAGCGTCGATGGTCATTAGCCCTTTGAAACCTGATTATACGGTGCCTGGCTGTTAGGGCAGGTCTCTTGACAACACGACGTGCTCTTAAATAGCCTCTATGAAGTCGACGGACCTATGTTCGAGCACTAACATGACCACCTTGACGCCAGTGGTGTCTAAGTTGTGGGGCAGGAGTAAATGGGTTGGCTTTAGCGCAACCAATAAGGAGTCCGTCATCACGATCGGTAGTTAAACGGGGTCTTCCGGACCTTGGTCTTTCATTTACAGTTCCTGTGTCAACATGACGTTGTAAAAATCTGACAATGACGGTGTGTTTAACATTGAAATGGTTACCTATGCAACTAGTGCTCCTACCGGCATTTGACATGTCAATTGCTTGTCAAGGTTCAGTCACATATAACTTACCCCTTGACATATTTCATAGTGACTAGGTGAAGGTCAAATTTCACCTGTACGCGGGGTAGTAGGAAGATGATTTAAAGGCATCGAAACAGTGTATTCGAAAAGTGCAGATGACCTTTAATAAAAAATTGCTTGGCGTGTTGATCGGAGTTTACTTTTTTTGGTCGTAATGAATTTTCTTAGTGTATGTTATAGGCAATTCATAACACCAAACATGAATATTTTTTTCGCAATAGTTAAAAAAATATTGCCAGTTATATTTAGGTGGTGCTTAACTTTTGGCGGACTGTATATTTCGTATTCAATGTTCTTCCTTTTGGCATTTCAACTGCAGGTTACATATTTACAAAAGTACTTAGAGAAGTAGTTAAGCATTTGCGATCAGAAGGCAAAAGGATAATAATGTTTCTTGACGACGGTTTGGGTGGAGATAGTAATTTTGAAAAATGCATTGAGAGCAGTCAAATGGTTAAAAATAATCTAGAACAATACGTGTACCTTATCGCTATTCCCGGCTGACCCGAGAATCTGTCCCGCTTGAACTTTTGACGTCATACAACAATCACTTTTCCATTGTGGCGTCAGATATTTTGTATTGTGACGTCAAAATTTTACGGGAACCTGTGTGATGTTCAGTAATGGCGGACAAATAGCGATAAGGTGTATTGGGATTTTTGATTGCACATGAGAAGTGTTTTTGGTTACCAAGCCAGAAATTGAAACGGCTAGGGTATACGTGGGATACAAATATAGGTAAAATATTTGTTAATGAAGATAGAATTATGAAAACTGAGAAAAAGATTAGATCTTTAATAGAAGAAACAAACGAAGGGGTAGAACTTTTTGGATCTAGATTTTTAGCTAGCATTGTAGGTCAGTTGATATCTATGCAGATAGTCATTGGTGACTTAGCCAGATTGAACACTAGATACCTTTATGATTGTATCATGAGTAGAGCAAGTTGGGATGCACCAGTCAAGATTTGTAGAAAAGCAATTAATGAAATACATTTTTGGTCTATTTCATTGCAAAAGCTCAATAATGCTGGAGTCGACATTTGTAAAGTCGATAAGCATGATATTGTTGATATAGAAATGTTTTGTGACGCCTCAGATGTAGGCTTTGGTGGTTATTTAACCACAGATTTGAATGCAAAACTTTTTTGCAAGGAAATGTCCGGTAACTGGACAGAACGAGAAATGAACGAGAGTTCCACATGGCGCGAATTAGAATGCGTCAATAGGTTTGTACAAACTTTTGATAGTACATTTAGTGACAAAACCGTCAAAATTAATACAGACAATCAAAACGTACCTCACATACTGAGAGTAGGAAGTAGAAAACAAAAATTACAAGATATAGCTATTGACATTAAACAAACTTGTGTAAGTAGTAATATAAACATAATTACACAATGGGTTCCAAGAGAGAAAAACACACATGCAGACACGCTCAGTAGACACACTGATCACGATGATTGGGCTATTCATTCTGATATATTTGATGAAATTAATAGCCTATGGGGTCCATATACAATAGACAGATCGCCACACACTATAATACACAGTGTGAACGATTTAACTCTAAAATATGGTATCCCGGTACGGAAGCAGTTGATGCATTTAGTCAAAACTGGAACACAGATACAAATTGGATAGTTCCACCACCATCACTAATATCCATGGTCGTACGCAAAGTAGAAAACGGCAGAGCCAACATCACGCTTGTTATA